GCCTGGAGTTTGCTAAAAAACACCTGAAGGACTCCAAGATGGTGAGAAATAAGATTCTCTGGTCTGATGAGACCAAGATAGAACTTTTTGGCCTTAATTCTAAGCGGTATGTGTGGAGAAAACCAGGCACTGCTCATCACCTGTCCAATACAGTCCCAACAGTGAAGCATGGTGGTGGCAGCATCATGCTATGGGGGTGTTTTTCAGCTGCAGGGACAGGACGACTGGTTGCAATCGAGGGAAGGGTGAATGCGGCCAAGTACAGGGATATCCTGGACGAAAACCTTCTCCAGAGTGCTCAGGACCTCAGACTGGGCCGAAGGTTCACCTTCCAACGAGACAATGACCCTAAGCACACAGCTAAAATAACGAAGGAGTGGCTTCACAACAACTCTGTGACTGTTCTTGAATGGTCCCGCCAGAGCCCTGACTTAAACCCCATTGAGCATCTCTGGAGAGACCTGAAAATGGCTGTCCACCAATGTTTACCATCCAACCTGACAGAACTGGAGAGGATCTGCAAGGAGGAATGGCAGAGGATCCCCAAATGCAGGTGTGAAAAACTTGTTGCATCATTCCTAAAAAGACTCATGGCTGTATTAGCTCAACAGGGTGCTTCTACTAAATACTGAGCAAAGGGTCTGAATACTTATGACCATGTGATATTTCAGTTTTTCTTTTTTAATAAATCTGCAAAAATGTCAAAAATTCTGTGTTTTTCTGTCAATATGGGGTGCTGTGTGTACATTAATGAGGAAAAAAATGAACTTAAATGATTTTAGCATATGGCTGCAATATAACAAAGAGTGAAAAATTTAAGGGGGTCCGAATACTTTCTGTACCCACTGTATATTATGTATATTAAGGCAATAGGTAAATTAACCATTAGGGATCGCTACTGTTTTATTATACTCAATTTTTCATTATGTAATCAATATTTGACATTGTGGGGAATCCGGTAGGTAGATAGATTGATAGATGGCTGGAGCTGCTGGCTACATATTTTGGTATCCTTGAGCAAGTCAGTGAACTTTCAGAGAAATGATATGTGCCTTGCGTGACTGTTTGCAAGTGACAAATGAATACTGAGAACTCAGTGACTGGAAAAATCAAGTTACTATATGTACAAGGAATTGAAGTAATAACACCAGCCAAGGTCTCACTGGAAGGTCACATGAGAATACCTGTATGTCCTAATGCTGGGGTCAAACACATGCTCACCTGTATTCAAGTGGAAACATGAGGGCTTCCAGGGCGCGGCACGCCTCTCCGAGCCTCTGGTAGCTGGTGGAGTGGAACAAAACCTTGTGCTCAGTCAAAACTGCACAAAACAGGCTTAGAACATTTTGGATTCCTGGAACAAGAAAACAACAGAGAATAAAATGAATGAGATATTTGATGGAATGTGACTGACATATGTTTCCAGATCATTTATAAGACATTCATGGCTATTTGTTGATTATTTCAAACCTCAAACACAGATTAGAATAAACAATATCCAGTCTGGAGGTCCTATTGCAATTTAAAACACACAATATTTTGTCTATGGCAGTGCCATATGGTCCATCCACCCCTGTCTTACTACAGAAGGTTGTGGGGCTACTTAAGAACTGTGTGGCGCAATCTACTGTAGGCACCGGTGTGTTATCTAAAATCAAATGTGATTTCAACCATCAAACTGAGGTGCAATGGCAACAGTGGAATAGGCTACTCCAGCATCACTGGTCTGTTGAATAAATTATGCCACTACAGTACAGTATGTCTTTGCTGTTGGTAGGTCAGCGCTGAGCCGCCACAGCACAGAGCAAATCCATCTTGGTAGGGACGCTGAACAAAAACTGGTTTAGAATAATATGAAAGTGAACCTGATGAGCAATCAATCACAACAAAAACAATATGAAGAGTTAGAATCACATTACATAACCAGTGAGTTGTCTGCTGTTATTTTAAACCGTGCAACCTGCTGGTTCATGATGCCAAAAACAGCACGCTTCACCAACCAAACTGTGCCGTTTATGTTAAGCACTGACTGTTAATCTATGGGAAAATTCATCTCTGAAAAACAAAGGAAATTACACTCTCATACTGGGTAAATAATATTTCAAATACCAATGTGACAATCAGGAAGAATTCTCAGTTTACAGTTCCTGTTATTGTTTCCTATCAAGCTAGAGACAGACCAATTCATCACACATTGGAGTGATAAGGAGAGAGGAACACTGGCAGACGTGTCCGCGCCACTGGGGGCGCTGGGTCTGGATGTTTGGCTGCCAGAGTAGAGCGTTTCAATGATAAACAGGAAGTGCTTTGAAGGTGAACGATCTCAACAAACCAAGTAAGTCTATCTCCCATGATGGGCCCAAATGATGAATTTCTGATGGCACCTCTTTCTGTTGAGACAGAGAGATGCAGAAGGGTGTGTCTTACTCCATGTGACGACATAACTGAGGCTCAGATTTCATGATCACACCTTAGCTCCAGGTGTTTACTTATCTTATGGAAACAGTGACCCATTTCCGGGCCCTAAATAAAAAGTGACAGAAACAGCACCGGACAACAGAAGAGACAAAGGCAACAAACAACAAACAGCAGGGCTCTTGATGACCGGTTCTATCTTGCTCCGGGGGATGTACTTCCTGTGTAGTGTGACATGTTTAACACACATTCCTCTGTGGTGACTCGGGTGACCTATGCACACAGAATGATATGCTGACCTGCTTGCCTATATGGCTACTAGCCAGTCCTTATATAGACATAAAGGACGACCTAATAAGTGGAAACAACAGACTAGTTCTTGGTGCTGGAGTATGACTGATCAGCTAACATATGATATTTGCCTTCCTGTCAGCACGCAGACAAATCAGTTTCAACAGCGGAAGAATGATTAATTCTGTCATTGTCTGACCCTGTCAGCAACTTTCACTTACACCATGAGGGACGGACTCTCAGTCAGACACACTGGCATAATGATACATGATCAAAAACAAATATAAACACTGACTTTTGAAGGAAAAGTTTAAATAGCAGCCTGGAAATTAAAGGAAACAGCAGGCTTTGTCCAATAAAAGCATCTGCCTATACCAGCATCTCTAAAGCTTGTGGTTTTATTTTTAATCCATGCAAGTGTAAAAATAACAAGTCGTGGTTGTAAAGCAAGCTATTTTTTCCTGCCACCAATCTTTATGCTAAGCTAAACATCTCCTGGCTCTAGGCTCATACTTACTGTAGCATACAGTACATACATGAGAGTAGTGTCGCTTTCCTAATCAAACTCAGCAAGAAAATGAATCACTGCACTGCATATATATATTCCTCTCATCAGTTAATTTAAAAGTTTAAGAAACCTTTTTTCATCTGTTTGTGACACCATGCAACAATCTGAGGTTTTAACCACAATACTATTAAACACCATCTATAATGTGACTGACTTCAGGTGATCTACCTGTAATGAACGCTTTAAGGACAAACTTCATAATGTACTGAACTGATTACTGGAAATGGATTTATGAAGACTGACAGGCCATGGTTGTGTAATATGTGTATCATGTAAGCATCCTCCATGTGCATGTTCTTTACTGTGTCCTGACAAAAAGAGGACGGTGTGGATGCACTCAGGAAATAACGCCACTCTGAGGAACATTCTTCTAATCAAATGAAGCTAAATAGAGCCAACTTTCCATTACACAGCAAATTTCAGGTGAAATTTTAGATTTCATTTTTAGCTCCCAAATGTATGGCTAGAGTTGCAGTGCACAAAGTCTGATTCTTATAGAATGATCCAAAAGTCTAAAAATATAATGAACAACAGCTCAATTCATGATTTATGCCAAACAGGGGCGGAGCTGAGGGCTCATTGCAAGGGGGGCAGGGACTTTTATTGGGCCCTTATCAGTGCTTGAAGTTGGGGGGGAAAGTACCGGTGCTCCTCTTATTCCCCATATGCTGAGGTGGAGGGTTGGGGTCAGTCTGTTGTATTTACCAAGCTGCGGCCTTTTGTATTTGCAATGGGGGGTTTATATTCAGCCCATTGTATTTACAGCTTGTGCTGTCCCAAATTGGCCAAATAACTAATACAGGCTTTAATTAAACTTACTTCACAATGTAAAAATTCTCATAATAAGTATAATATTAATACTTATTTATTCATTATTGACAGCAGGTTAAATCGAGAGGCTTACATAGGGAGTGGAAACGGTATGATCCACTGTAGGCGTCTCTAAGGTGTGTGGGATATTGTATTAGATCCGTGCCCTGAAGAAGAATCTAATACAATATGCCACACACCTTAGAAACGCCTACAGTGGAAACAGTATGATGTACTGTAGGTATCTCTAAGGCGTGTGGGATATTGTATTAGATTCTTCTTCAGGGCATGGATGTTGCCTCCATTCAAAGTACACTGCTGAAAATAAACTGCACCCTTAATTACGCAAGTAAACCATTTGTTGTTGCTTCTGGGGGAGTTCATGTCTATTTTGCTGGAGCTACCCCCCAAAATATTAAACTAAGCAAGTAAAAATGCAAGTTCAGTTAGGCAGACTGGCCGCTAGGCGGGCCCCTTTGCCACAATGGGCCCGGGATGGTCGCACTCTCTGGCCCCCCGCTCGCTCTGCTACAAATGCCAAACTGTTTATTTTGAAAGGCTATGGAAAGTGATAGGTACACTCTTCAAACAGAGCTGAACTACTCTATCTACAGTACAAGTCATGGTGAGTCATCTTAAAATCAAAGCATGTATTACATGTACAAATTGTTTACATCTGAACGGCTGTCAGGACATACAGTACAGCACTGTGCAAACACAGCAACAAACACATGCACAACACCACCAGCGAACTGCATGTGCTCGTTCTAGCCTGGGCAATCTTACACAACCATTGATGAAACACAGAGAACATCACATAATCCCGCCTCAGACACATTAAATGTTGAATGAATCCAAGCTCTTAGTCGCACAGTGCAAAAATCTCCTGACTGTAAAAGTCCTACAATACTGTAGTTTACCACCAAAATAAAAGCCTTAAAAATTTGATAAGCATTAAAACTGAAAGAATGGAAAATATCTCACACTGAGGTTCTTCATTATATTACTTAAGATGATAATGCCAGTAATATGATTAAAGACAAATAATCTGCACTCAGGTAACAACCAGCAACACAAACTTAGCAAAATCCATATGTTAAAAGAAAAACAGGGTATCATGTAGATGTGACAGCCTGCATGAAACTACTGTTCCTTCTAAATTATGTCACTGGATTTATGTTAATAAATAAATGACATGCCTGAGTTGGAATGCATTATTACAGTCAGTCACAAGTCATTTTCTGACTCAAGTCCCTTCCTGTCTCATGATTATTAGTTGGCTGTTATCAAAGTGCCTGAACCCACCCAGTTGCTGGAAGAGCAGAGCGACACTTTTGCATGTGACAGGCAATATGTCATTCAGAGGTGTCTGGATGAGCTGCCGATCTCCTGCTCCCAGGCTAAACAGCTTCTGTAAGGAAAAACAAAGGCAAAACAAGTCAGAAAACAGTCATGGAAAATTCCGACGCCCATCAAGTCTGCAGGGCAACTCATGAAACTAACAGTCATTTACTGCCAAATAAGGAAAGTTTTCAGACCCTGTCACGTTTTCCACATTTTGTTGTGTTTCAGACTCATCTTTAAATTAATTAAATACATTTTTCCTCATTAATCTGTACACCCTGCTTCAGAATAACAACATGAAAACAGGTTTTTGGAGTGTTTTGTTCATTTATTAGAAATACAAGACTGAAAAATCCCATTTAAATAAGTATTCAGACCCTTTGACAGTTGAGCTCTGGTGCATCCTATTCCTATCAGTGGTCATTGAGATGCTTCTACAGCTTGATCAGAATCAACCTGTGCCTATTTTACTTTATTGGATATAATTAGGAAAGACGCACACCTGTCCATACAAGGTCTCATAGTTGGTGGTGTATGTCAGAGTGAGAACAAAGCCATTGGGTGGAGAGAGCTGTCTGCAGACCTGTGAGACAGGATTGTGTCAAGACACAGATCTGGGCAAGGATACAAGAAAATTGACGGTAGCCTCCATCATTCTCAAATGGAAGAGATTTGGAACCAAGTACTAAGTGAAGGGTCTGAATACCTATGGAAATGGGATATTTCAATCTTTTAGTTTTAATAAATTTACAAAACCATGTTTTCACTTTATCACTGTGGAGTATTGTGTGTAGATTGATGAGAAAAAAATGAACTGAATCTACTTTAAGATGAATCTAAAAAATATCAAAATATGGTAAACTTTATAGTTTCTGAAAACTTTTCCTATTGACTGTATTTAGATTCACAGCCAGGTGCACAAAGTCTGTATCAAATGAGACAGGTTCTTCAGTGCTACACAAACAGTGCAGCTATAGGATTAAATTTGCCATTTGAATCATTTTGCAGGTCATTAAGTAAAAAAAACATTTTTTCTTAATAATGTTCTGTTAATGTTGTGTTACAGAATCCTTTCAAAAGATCCATGTGATACATGCAACATAAAAACCACACTTCCATTGTGATCTTCACTCAAGTGAAATATCAACCGTACTGCAGGGTCCCCATTTGAACAATTCTTGACATACCTCATGTTTAACAAGGTGCTGCTGTAGCTTTGGAAATGAGTCTCTTCTACTGCTGAGGTTCTGCCTAAAGACAGACTCTAGGACTTGGGCTCTTGTGGGAAATGGGGAATAAGCCAAATTGTTCCCTTTTACAGCACACCAGCCATCGTTGCAAAACAAAATCTGACTGTCACCTCAGGGATGACGATTTTTTTCCAGCGCCCACAGTACACGTACAATACTTTTCCAATATAATGAGACATTTGGCTAGACACTCACTTTCTGACACTAGGCCAACAAACAGCAGCAAACATTTTTTTAAGTAATGAGAGATCTCAATGCACCAACTATAAACTCGGTTTAAGAGCTCTGCTGTCTTTTGCCCCACTCTAGGCCGAGGTATGTTATTCTGAGTAACATTTTGAGGGGGAAAAAATGTATTAGAAGATTACTTCCTGTGGCTAGACAACAATCGCAGGTACCATCTGAATATGACATTCCTGATTGGCTGCACAACAAACACATTATTTTAGTAGTGGCACCATCATCATAAACAATCACTGCTTCAGTGTGGAACAGGTTTGACATTAATCCCACCTAGCCCCTATTGGATGTGGATTTGTAGCCCCCCCTGAGAGAACAGGCCAGTAGCAGAACAGTGAGTTGTACTGCAGACTGTGGTACTGACTGTGCCTCACCAAAGACTTACCTGGGATCCACCCGCAACAGGAACCTGGAATGTAAAGAGGTTGGCCACCAGACCTTCTAAAGGGAAACTCAAACTATCGATGTACACTGTGTAGATCAGACCCAAGCACCCCTGGAAAGAAAACATGTGAAATACAACTATAACATTCCACCAGATGCATACAGGACAACTACTCTGTACAGTCTACTGTATTTAGATTAATGATCATCTGCATTTATGCTACCTGTGTCATAAGACAAAAATGATACGCTTGATTAGTCTGTGACATTTAGGCATGATTTAAACACACAGGTTATTCTAACAGCTCCTAATAACAGCAGAACCTATTACCGTGCATAGCATAGCTGACTGAGTGTGCAGAATCTGTGATCAACCTAGTCTGTATTGAAAGGATAAAAGGTGCTTCTATGTCTCATTCACTTTACTGAGGTGTGTTTACACTTGAGCAAAATCTGCCCATTTTGCAGACAGTACAAAGAAGATTAGCATCATCTAAGAAGTGCAAGATGAAAGCACTGATTTAGCCAAAATTCTGACTATTCCAACAGAAAAATATTTTCAAATCAAAGATTTAATTGTATGTTTTATTACCCGGAATATTTCGGGATAATCCAGCCTGGACACAAGTATGAGACTTTTTGGTGCAAACACTTGAGCTGGCTGGATCAAGCCATCCTCCTCATCTTCATCTGCATCACCCTCAATACCCTTTGATCCCTGAAACATAAAAAAAAGCAAAAGCTATTAGTTAAAGGGTTCAATAGAGTGCCATGGACTAAAGACCTAAAACTGTACTGTAGAGGATTCCAGCACTGCTGAGCTCCTGGTTTAGCTTGTGAATACATCACATGCCTCAAACTCATCACACTGTCCAGCACATGTCTGGCATCTATTAGACATCACATGTGTTATCTGGACATTCTCCAGGGAAAAATAA